ATTAAACGTCATGAATCTGAAATTATGAACGCCGAGATAAAGTGTTGAAAATATGAAGTTTTTTTGGCTTTGGCATGCGCGTTGAAACCATTGATATGCATCTAGGTCATTCCTCCTCCATCTGCAGGATGAATCTCTACTGGGTGAGACATCTCCAGTCAGATTTCAGAGTTTATGAATCTCCACTGGGTGAGACATCTCCAGTCAGATTTCAGGATGTATAGAGCTGTGAGTGTGTCACGACACAGGGATGACATATCTGTTTACCCAGAACTCTGCCAACCAAGTCTGCTTTTTTCCTGCAGAATGATTCCTCCAAAGTCTCAGGATTGACGGAGTCAGCCGGGCAGAATCTCCCATTCTACGTATGTGAATCGTTGCCTGGAAACAGTGTTTGGTTGTTACACTGTAGGAGGTTTTCTTGTCTTAATCTGTTTTCAAAGCTAATTTATTGCTGGTTTGTTTTGTTCGTGGAAATATAAAAATTCCCTTTCCAAGCAGACTCTCAGAATCTGGGTCAAATCTTCTCCTCAGAAAACTGCATTTAGATTTGCTTTGATGAAAAACAAACAATTCCATATTTCAGATATGGAAGCAGAAACGCACAGTGATGTTCAAGAAAGCGTCTAAATATAAAATCACATCATTTTCATTGTGGAACTTCCATCTGTTTTACATTTTGAGATGGATATAAACATATAGGAGAAAAAATAGAGGAAAAGAACGGTTTCTCTTTAGGCAGCAGGCTCTGAGATGATGGCACATGTTAACGGACAGATCCATACGAGGACAGCCACTTTTTTGTGTTGCAGATTCTGAAGTGTGTTTGATTTAATTCATGTCATTTGCTGAATAATTAAGGCCATATTTTATTATTTTTCACACAGGTTCTGGATTTGAATGGTCCAAAGTAAAAAAAGAAAAAAAAATGTTAAAAAATCAGTTGATATTTTTAAAGCCAAGTTCAGCTTCGCATGAAGAGGCAAATTCATGTCTATGAGTAACTCAAAAACTTTATCTGTGACCTCTTTTAAGCCGTTACCATGGCAACAGAAAAGCTGACATGAACGAGTTGTCTTAATTTTTGTTATGCTAGCCAGTCGTAATGGCTAAGAAAAGATCTCATAATTACGAGATCAAGATGTCATAATTACGAGAGTCTGATTATTTATTTTTTCGGTGAATCCAATGCGCTTCCATAAAATCCTGATTGTCCTGCAAAAAAAGAGAAAATGAAAAAACAAATAAGGCATATAATTCCATCTGAAATGGAAAAACCCTGAAATCTAGACTGATGAGAGCATTATGTCTTGCACCCGTGTGTGCGTCCTGGTTGTGCGTTCTCTCCATTGTGTGACGGCTTTAATAGTTTCCCCTCCACGGTTCTGGGTTCTGCGGAGGTGGCCCCCAAGGCACAGTTTGTCCCAAATAGCTTCTCACCCTCTCCATCACTCTCCTGCTGCATGTCACCTCGTCCCCAGTCTGCCACTGTCCGGCTCCTCTTTGTGATGCTCTCAGCAGATGGGCCCATTCAGCCTCCACCGAACCCACCACCACATCAGTCATGCCTCCAGGCCACCGCCGACACAACAGGGCTAATTGGAAACAGATCACACTCTCACACTTGTGATCACATTTACACATGAAGTCACACACAGACAGGCAGAGCCCACTGAACACTCACACTTAATCACTCAGCCCCTCACTCTAATAAACCCTCACA